AAAATAAAAAGGCATTCAACATTAATAACCATAAGTTTAAAAAACTTTTGAATGTAGTGGAAAATATAAAGGCATGGCTAATTACATTAAATTTGAAATCATAATTACATTTAGATTAAAAAACTATTGAGTTGTAGTGGGAGTTTTAAACTCTTGAGTTGTGCCCAATAATATAATATAAATATTAACATTTATATGTTATAAAAACAATATTATAAACATTTATCATTGAAATAATAATTTTTATACTAAGTTGTAACTAATATTATAATAATTTTAAGTTTACAATAAGAAAGATATAAAAAGTTGTGTTTGAATCAAATTGAGTTAAGTTTTTGACTTAAAATCATTTTAAACAATAGGTATTTTTAACTAATTTATAAATAATTTATTTGAATATTTTGTATTATTATTATTATTATTATTATTATTATTATTATTTCAAATAACAATAATTTTTTAATATACAATAATCTATTCTTTAGTTCTAGGTTATTTTAAACAATTATTATTTTTTACTTAATTAAAAACTACTTATTTGATATTTTTTCATTATTATATTTAAAAAAAACTATCGTACTTTTGTATTGTACTTACATTTTTGACCTTAAAGTTATGAAATATTGAAAGAGAATGAGCGGTCCAAATCAAATGGTGATTTGAATTTCAAAACTATAGTAATTGTTATGTACACCGACCAATCTTAAAAAAAAAATTTGTTAAGAGTGGGTTTGCGGAGAAAGAATGTTACACTTGAGGTATATTTTTATCACTTATATTTTCTTATGAAAATGTTAATATTTTATTTATTTTACTTTTCCTTTACGATAAAAAACGAATAGGGAAAAAAGTAATTGACAAATGTAATAAGATAATAACTATTTTTATTATTATAAAAACATTTAAAATGGATACATCCATATAAGTTTTGGTAGAACATAAAGAATTCATTTTTATAACACACATAATCATTAGTTTTCAACAATAAAGTCATGTCATATTAAAAATCATTCGTTCTAATTCATCACTATCACCAACAATTTGGAATAATAATTGTAAACTCCTTTCATCAAAATCAATTATAAAAAACTGCATCGATGTTATTTACAACAAAATAAGTGATATAAACTAACATAATATATAATTTATAATAGCATAAAATACATGTTGAATAATGTTCTCTTGGACATAACCTATATTTTCTTAACATAAAAAAAGAATGACAACATAAAGATACATACATGTAAGCAAAGTTCATTGCTCTAACTGATAAATAGCTTGAAAATTGATTTATCAAAAGCTCATGAGAAGTAATTTTCATTTCCACTTCATCATCCTGTGATTATAGAAAGATGCATAACACATAAACCTAAAAAGTGATCTCAAGTATATATTTACAAACATATCTAAATTTGAACCTTTGTTAATATCTCTACGTGCACTCAATTTGAGTTTATATAAATTTCTATTTGGAAAAGTTACAATTGTTTTCATATATCCATGGAACCACTCACGTAACTCTTCAAACCCTACAAATATAATCTATCATTTTGTGTTGACATACATGCAATATGTAATCTACAAATTCTTATATAGGCTAAATATTTCATTTAACTCATCAATTACATAGCATGATTTGAAGAGTTTTGGGAGTTCAATCATAATATTTCAAATAATCATAAATTAATTCGTATAAGTTGAATAGTTTTGGGAGTTTCAAATACATAAGGTTCAAGAAAAATGTTTGATTTATATATACTAGTTGAATATATGCGCGTTGTGCATAATACAATAATATAATTATAGATAAAATACGTGTTCTTAAAAGTAAATATCCTATTGTCATTAACTTTGAAATAATAACTTTTAACATAATGTTTATACATTGTAATAAAATATATGATAAGAGATTTTATTATTGATAACTATTATTATTTTAGTTAATTAAAAAATTATTTTTTATTTTTTTTATTTACTCAACCACTTTTTTAGTTGCTTTTGGTTGTTAAATTTGTTTTCTCTAACAAAAATTATTTAGTTATTTAGAAGAATTTATCTTTATTGAAAAGTATTAGGTACATTACTTTTTTCACTATGAATAAGAGAAATGTTGACCTATATTAATATTTTTTATAATTTTGAGACATAATAATAATAATAATAATAATAATATAATTGTTTATACACAAATTATTAAAATATATTTATTTGTTGGGTTTAATTGTTTGAGTCAATAAAAAAATATGTAGTTTTATAAATATAATTATGTTGATTTAAATGTAATCTAATAGTTTTAGCACATTGATGTCATTATTTCAAATTTTCTTTTCAAAATAATAATTATAGGAATCACTTTTTATAATATATCGAAATGTCAAAACTCAGATCCAAGAAGTGACCATAAAAAATTAAAATAGTTTACAGGTTATATATATATATATATATATATATATATATATATATTATATATATATATATATATAGAGAGAGAGAGAGAGAGAGAAAAAAAAAAGAGAGAGAGAGAGAGAGAGAGACTTCTAAATAGTCTTTTAAACTTCAGGGTCCATAATCAAATAAAACATACAATCATGTTTACTTGGATTAATCTTCTATATGATTCTTAAATTTGACATAAAAAAAAGTCATCAAATATGCCTTCAACAATTTTGATGCCTACGAAAACTAAAACAAAAAAAACATTTATCCAACTTCGATGCCAACATAATCTTAAACAAAAAAATCACATTAATCCAACTTCGATGCCTACAAAAGCTCAAACAAAAATCACATTAATCCATCGAATAAAATAAGACAACGATATGAAAATAGTACATTGTCTTTCTGAAATACATTGTTTTCTACTTAAGTCGACTCAAATGCTCTGTACCAAAGCTTTTGTTTAATGTATGCTTGATTAAAGTCTCAACGTTTTATTTGAGTTCACATAAGCAAGCGATCATTTGTTTGGCGCCGAAGAACTGAGGGTGTCAAGAGGTAAAGAAGAAAATGTGGAAAAGCAAATCGATAAATTCTTTGGTGGTTTCTCTCTTTTCCACTAAATACGTAAATGTCATGTTTGGAGAAGCTATTGATGAAATACCACATTGAAGTTTGAAATAAGATTTTATAGAAGTAGGAGATGTTAGTAATTATAGTTATCATAAATTCAAAAACTCTTTGATTGCTTGTTAATTAAAATTGTGTGTAAGTTTCATAAGTTCAAAATCTATTTGATTGTTTGGTCTTAATTAGGTGAATGTGAAAAGGTATGAAAGTTTCAAATGCATATGATGCAAGTAAAAATATCTCTTTTATAAGTATAGTATAATATAATAGTATGATAGTATGATATATATATATATATATATATATATATATATATATATATATATATATATATTTATATATATATATATATATATATATATATATATATATAGGCTTAGGTTATTTTGTTTTTACTAACTATTGTGTGTCAGAATGCACAGATCTGGACCAACGGATGTAATTAATCAATGGACATGATTTGAGAGTGTATGATATTACAATGGGGTAACATTTATCATATAATCGCACAAATTTTAATAAAATGGTATTTTAGACAATTAACTACATCTATAAAAGGAAATTTTCGGATTTTTAGAGAGAATTAATTATCCTAATTTTAAAAATATGAATTTTTTTAATTAATTAAATTTTAATTCTAACGTAATTTGTAAACATAGCCGATTTTATTCTATCAGAATATTTTTTTTTCTAGAATGATGTTCTTCCAGAATTTTATTCTATTAAAATATTATTGAAGAATAACAAAATTCTTGAATCCGAGGTTGAAAAATAACAACATTGTAACATATTCTTATACATCCGAACTTAAATACAAATTCATATATATTCTTACAAACTAAAAACCTTATACATTTTAATATAATTATACATATTCTAAAAGAATATCAATAAACATGAATAAAATTCTTAAAAAATAACAACATTCTTAAATTGTGAGTCTGATCAAACTTTATTCATTCTTCAAGATATTCCTATTAGGTTGAACTTTATTCTTTCTTCAAGATATTTCTATTACGTCTTCAACGCATTCTTCCAGCCATTCCTATCACAAATACAACAAAAACTAATAATGGTTAAAAACATGTTACTCGCAATTAACTAGCACTTTATATATTCTAGTAGAATACATAGAATATGACAGAATGTATTATTCTGGTAGAATACATAGATTTTATTCTGTCAGAATACATTCTGACAAAATTGACAAAATACATAGAATACATTCAAAAGTATTGTATTTCCAGCTAATATAATTTTAGATTCCAAATACACAATGATGAAAATGAAGTTCGTTTTAAATTGATTTGTAAAATGTTAGTCTTAAAATTGATTTATAAAACCAAAATCCAAAGCAATATTGTGCAATGTGGTTATAAAATTTGCAGCAGCAAATGGTTTGTTAAGTTTTCTTGAAACTTGTTCAAGAAATCGGTATTTCACATTGAAAACCCAAAACAATTATGTTGTCTACGCTTTCTAGAACTTATTTTATTCTACTTTTTAGATAAATTTTAAATTAAGTATTGTGTATGCAAGTCTTATTTTAACATTAAAATTCATTATTTTTAAGCAGCAAATGCAATATATATTAATAAAAAAAAAAGCCTAAGCAAGAAACTAATGGGCAAATACATCACAGGAAAATTCATTTTTATTATCTTATAAAATTACTATTCTGATTTTGTTTCATTAACGCAAAAGGCACTACTTTCAGTTAAAAATAAACATAAATGAACCAAATGTTAGGAAAATTGTTTGTGAAATGTTCAACAGAACTTCATAACATAGATCGTTCGTTTGTTAGAGGGAAATTGATTTATCGTAGTAATAACATAGAACGAACATCATCATTCTCAAAAGAAATTTGATTGTAAAATCAGAAATTAGGTTTAAAAATTAGAAATTGAGTTCAAGAACATACCAGGGCTAGGATGTTGGTGTACGGCGTCAGCTATAGACCGATTTCGGTGATGGAATACGAAGCCGACGAAAGAAGAGGGAGGAAGAAGAAGATACGGCAGTGGCAAGATGAGGGATACACAGGTATGTCTGGGACGATGATGAATGGTCGATGGTTATAAAGAAGAGATATTAGGTCAACATATATTTATCTTGTTTCCTTAATTACAAGTGCAAAAAACCAGAAATACCCTTTTTTATTTAATTAATTATTTTATTATTTGCTAATTTGTGATTGGTGCATTTAGGAACACAATAGTTGTTAAAAACATTTGAACATATATATATATATATATATATATATATATATATATATATATATATATATATATATATATATATATATATAGATCCGGTAAGAAGGAAATTTTTGGTAGGAAGGTAAGAAGTTTTTTTTCTATATATTTTTTTGACGAACAAAATAAATGAATCACTAGATGATTCATTTGTAAGATGATTCACAAGAAAAAATTTCCAAAAAAACATCTTTATGATTCATTTTTAAGTAAATTAAGAAAAAATTCACTTTTATGACAATTTTAGTGAATAACAACAAAATCATTATATAAATGAATCATCGAGATGTTTTTTTGAGAATTTTTTCTTGTGAATCATCTTACAAATGAATCATCTAATTATTCATTTTGTTTGTTCGTCAAAAAAATATATAGAAAAAAAACTTTTTACCTTCCTACCAAAAATTTCCTTCTTATTTGATCTTGACTGTATATATATATATATATATATATATAAACCATTTACCTATATTTTATATTTTATATACACGTACAAATGTACATATCTATAATGTACAAAAGGCTATTAACTTTTTGTGATGGTATCCCTTGTTTCCACTCTTCTATGTTTGTATTTAGTTGTTGTGTCATGCTAATAAACATTCGATGATCAAGTACATGAAGAATCACATATATTTCTATTATGGCATTAAAATGATATCTAGTTATCTAGTATACATAAATCTACACCATCAATTTGCCAAAACTTTGTACTATTAATACTTTAATTTTGTATAACATCCTTTGAATGGTTCGTCTTTAACATTAGATTTGCCTGTTTTGAAAAAGAGTTATAGAATATGAAGTTGTCAAGACTAAACTTTTTCATTATTTAGAGACTACTTAAATAAAAGTTATTACATGTGGGATTTTAGATGAAATTTCGTAATTATAAAGTACTTGTTATGTAAATTCACCAGAGAAGAATTAATATTTACACTTTAGTGCACTATAAATATAAGTTAGCTCTTATTACACTCGTATATAAATTGCCTCCTCCCAAACCCCCTCTCTCTTCCCTGTGCTAGGAGACAGACTAATTAAGCAGAATAGTCGCCGGTCGTCGATCGTCGAGTGTCGATCGCCGGTCGTCCTCCTCAGAACGCTAGCGTCACCTATCTTCTTGTCTATATTCAATTTGGTAAACACGCGGTTTTGTTTCGATTCAGTTCATCCCCTGTCCAGATTCCGTAATGCTTCCTAGATCTCCCTCAGATCCAATGCCGTCCTTGTTCTAATTGTAGAACCAGAGGGAGAAGAATCAATTATCATCAATCAGATTGAAAAAAATTGGTCCATTTTCGATTTTGTTTAGAAATGTCGGCAATAAAGAGCCCGTCTCCCACCCGGTTCTTCACGATTGGACTTGTAACGTCGTGGTACTCATCCAACATTGGGGTTTTATTGCTCAACAAGTATTTGCTTAGCAATTACGGTTTCAAGTACCCGATCTTCCTCACTATGTGCCATATGACAGCTTGTGCTTTGCTAAGCTACATCGCTATCGCATGGCTGAAGATGGTTCCTATGCAGACTATCCGATCTCGTGTTCAGTTCTTTAAGATCTCTGCTCTGAGCTTAATCTTCTGTGGATCCGTTGTAAGTGGCAACATTTCGCTTAGGTATTTACCTGTATCGTTTAATCAAGCGATTGGTGCTACGACGCCGTTTTTCACTGCCGTGTTCGCGTATCTCATGACTTTGAAGAAGGAAGCTTGGCTTACTTATATCACCCTCATTCCTGTTGTGACTGGTGTTATTATCGCTAGTGGGGTATGCTTCTTTCAGATATTAGTTTCCAGTTTATGTTTCCTTTTTCTAATTATTCATGTTTGGTTTTAGGGCGAGCCTAGTTTTCATCTGTTTGGGTTTATAATGTGCATTGGTGCTACTGCTGCAAGAGCATTAAAAACAGTTGTTCAAGGGATCTTGCTTTCTTCTGAAGGGTATGGAACCATTCGAGATTCATGATAGATTTCCATCATCTATTCAACTAACATTACATGTCATTTTTTACTTCAGGGAGAAGTTGAACTCCATGAATCTCCTTCTATACATGGCTCCTATTGCTGTCGTATTCCTGCTTCCTGCAACATTATACATGGAAAGGAATGTCGTTGGTATAACAATAGCACTTGCAAGACAAGATTTTGGGATTGTTTGGCTATTGCTTTTCAACTCTGCGCTTGCATATTTCGTGAATTTGACAAACTTTTTGGTCACAAAACACACCAGCGCTCTTACACTTCAGGTATGTCTGTAGTTATCTATTCAATCTCTACCTTCAAAGAAAAACATGATCTTGTTTGTAACAAATTAGGGTTTGATATTTTAGGTTTTGGGAAACGCAAAGGGGGCAGTTGCAGTGGTTGTTTCGATACTAATTTTTAGAAATCCGGTATCTGTGACTGGGATGGCGGGATACACATTGACAGTGATTGGAGTTATTCTTTATAGTGAAGCCAAGAAGCGTAGCAATAAATGAGACCCATAATTATTAATTACTATAACTTAATTAGTTAAAGATTACAAGCTCACCATGGACAACTTGAAGCAGGTTAGGCTTTATGTGCTGTTGCTTGTTGCTGCTGATCTTGCCCTCTAAATTCATATTTTTTATGCTCATAAAACCTTGGGCTTGGGGACATTGAAGCTGCATATGTGTAACAGCTACATGAAAAATCAAAAGTAAGCCATTAGTTACATCTGTGTTTAGGGTTCATAGTATAAGAATTGTAGAATTATTTTGCTATGAATTATGTTATATTCAAACTTCTTATAGATTATTTATTCAAGGCTATGCCCATTTATCCTTTCATTGTGTGACTTCTTACATTTTTATAGGGTTAATGTCAATTAATAGCATTTAGTCGGTTATTGTAATTTTGGGACTTAATAGTTATTAAACTTTTTGACTTAATCTAAAAAGAACAACTTAATGGATTAAGCCACAAATAACACGGCTTTAATTATATTAAGACGCTATATCTTTACTTATTTTTCCTCATAGCTTCTTTCAAGTTAAAACTGAAAAAAAGAATATCTTGAATAATATTTCTTTGACTTTTAAGAGTAATACGGTAATTTAGTTTTATTCTGACAGTTTGTTTGGTTTAAAAAAGAAACAAACATGTTATATAGCAGTTTATTTGGTCTTAAAAATATCAAAAGTTATACAGTTCTTTATCTAGACAAATATCTTTCCCATTCAACCACTTTATGAAAGACTAATGACAGGTTTATGAAGCCAAAAATAGGACTATGAACTTAATTAGTCAATGTGAATAGCTATTTAGTGGCATTAACCCTTTCTGGATAAAATGATTTAGTTAATGTTAAAACAAGACACAAATGCTCATTTCTACTTGAAAACACTACTCAAGGGTTTACATACATACTTTCATATTGCATAAACAAAATTAACCCCAACAACTTAACTTCATAAGACTTTTCATCACTAACCTACTCAACATCCATTACTTCAACCTCTGTTTTTGGCTCAATAACACCAGTTCCAGTCTTAACATCCAAAACTTCAACATAATCACCATTAACACCATTCTCACTTCCAGGATTCTTAACAACCTGTGGTTTAGTTTCCTCTTCTTCTTCATCAAGATCTACCTTCAAGACACGTCGTTTAGGCACCCCTTCTCCATTTGATTTAGGCTCAGTTTTTGGCTTCTTCTCCGGTTGTTTCTTGGGCTCCGCCACTGGCTCAGCCTGATGACCACCACCCATTTCTTCATCTTCTTCAATCTTTGGAGCCAAATAGAATCTCAGATAACCCATTTCCGCAATTTTGTATTCCACCACTACTGGCAGCTCAGATGACAAACTCACTGTCACTTGGCTTGCTAATGGAGTCGCCTTTGTGAAAGAGTTCATGTACCTTAAAGCAAATGTTAAGGAAACTGGTGTCTCCATTTCGATTATAGTTGCTTCTTCTGGCTGCATATAAGTTTTACACAAAAAGTAAGCAAAATTTCATATCATTTGTTTTCAAAAAAGGTCTGTAATTAGTCTTGCGTACCTTGTCAACGGAAGTATTTTGTCTTAAGACGATGTTTGCAGTCCCAATGTCACCTCTGGTGGAAAACTTTACGCCTTCTTTGGTGACAGATATCACAACTACAAACACCAAATTGATCATGAATTAGCACTAGATTTTGAAAAGTAAATAGAAGTGGAGTGTTTTAACCATGATGAAAAAAAGAATACCAGTGTCTCCTATGGTGCTGAGATCTTTGCAGATTCTTGCAAACTCTGCAGATGGCATTCGGACAATGGCTTCATATTCTGCTTCTGGTATTCCAAGATGTTCACTATCAATGTCCATCAGCTTCATCTCAAAATCAGCAATCTTATCTTGATCTGAAACATTTCAGTCGATTAATTCACTATCAAAAGCACATACAAGTACCAAATTTAAAAAATAAACAGAAGATGAGCGGCGAATCATCATAAAATCGTAGCATATATGACATAACTGTAATAGATTTATCAATTAGATGTAACGAACGAAATACCAAACGACAATTCTATATTTAATTTTGATTTGAAAAAATAACTAATAGTCCCCTGTAAATTCAACAAAATGCATTCAAAAAACCCTAAAAGCGCATTATTGATGCAGATATTTGTTAAATTCAAAAAACCCTAAAATCGCCTTCAAAAAACCCTAAATTCGAATAGATGAAAGGTAAAAACTAGAGAACAGAAGTATTACTAGGGCTTTCAAACATGAAGGTGACGCAGTCACCGCCGTCGTCAGCCTTGACGGTGACAATGTCGTCATTGCCGGCGCATTTTAGCATTTTTGCCATGTTACCGAGATTCATTCCCATTGAGAGGTTACGATCGCATCGGTAGTGCTCGAAACCCTCAGATCTGAGTAGGAGTGAGACAAGCGCTACATGGCTTGAATCCATGGCCTGCAGTGAGAATCCCGTCGCCGAACAGTCAAAGTTGGCGTCGTTCACCAGATCCTTTATGGATTCCATCACTTTCTTCAAAAGACTGCCCTGAACCAACCTTAGTTCCAACATTTTCTCGTCTGTGAGAGAAACTGATGTTGATTCTTGAGAGAGAGAGAGAGAGAGAGAGAGAGAGGGGTACAGAAGCTATGCCGAGTGAAGGAGAGGGGTAGAAGATAATGGGATTTTGGCGGGAAAAACTTGTAATCCCGCCAGAAGTTGTCGTCAAAACACAAACGGCGTCCTTTTCCGCTTAATGGGATTTTTAACATTCAAGGTTTATTAAAAATGCAACAAGCTTTTGATTTGTTTATTGTTATAACATTAACAACCGATAATAGTTCATTAAGTTGTTTATTTTTTTAATTGTATTTAATAGGATATTAATGTTTATAATTCTTATTACATAATTTGAATATATTTCAATAAAGTAAACAAAGTAAACTGTCCACTATGACATATGACATTCAATAGTCGAGAAGGTTCATTTAGGTCGACTTAACGTTAATATTTTGACAAATGTGGCATCCGATATTAGCAACAATACTCGGTTGAAATGCACTATAATGTTGTAAAGAAAAACAGAAAAACGTTTACCAGCCTATCGAAGACAATCAAATATTTAATGATAAAATATAAAGGGTAAATTACACGAATGTTTATTGTGGTTTAGGTAATTTGCATTGTTGATCTCTAACTTTATTTTTGGAAAAATGACATATTAGCTTTATGAAGTTTTGCACATTTGTCATTCAGTCTCTTAAGAATTTTTCGTGCTTTATGAGGGTACAAAATAGTTTTTCAGATGTTCATTTAGTCATCTAACCTAATACAACTGGTTTAATATCCACGTGACCATTTGTTTTTATTGACATGTCCATCTCCTTTAGCTTAATACCCTACGTGCCCTTCAAAACGTTTACTAGTCTATCGAAGACAATCAAATATTATATTTAATGATAAAATATAAATGGTAAATTACACGAATGTTTATTGTGGTTTAGGTAATTTGCATTGTTGATCTCTAACTTTGTTATTGGAAAAATGACATATTAGCTTTATGATGTTTTGCACATTTGTCATTCAGTCTCTTAAGAATTTTTCGTGATTTATGAGGGAACAAAATAGTTTTTTGAGATGTTCATTTAGGTAGTGTTTGTTTTTTGTCTGCAGATCTGCGTGGTCTCTTCTGTCTGCGCCGCGCAGACACGCGCAGACATTAGCCTTCGCAGACTGTTTGTTTTTTTGAAGACTGCAGACCTAAAAATGTCTGCACGCCCTCTTCTTAGCGCAGATGTGGACCAGAGTCTTCTAACATCTTCTAGCCTAAAAAAAACATATATATCTTTATTTTTTTAAGTTTTTTTTTTTAATTTATATTTTTTTCAACTTTATTAATGATAAACAATTTGAAAAAAATTACAAAACATAAAAAAAAACGTTCGACGATACAAACATGATATTTTTGACAAATTTATAAATAAAGATTTATTACAATATAATAGTCGTTGAAGTTGTCTATGTAAATATGAAAAAAAATCATAATATATTCTTATATTTTTTTGCCAATTTTTATAAAACATTATTTAATACAGTATCGTCAATTTCTCGATAAAATATTTATGGTACGTATTTAATGGATATAATTGAAAAATCGAAGTTTATTTCCAACTATTTATGTATCAAATTCTTCGATCACTAATTGTAATGTTTAGTTATAACTTTGCAACCAAAGTTGTTGGTTTTTATCAAATATATACGTTAATTCGTACCATTTTTATTTTTATTTTTTATACAATAATACATAAAAGTTGATCTAGATTCGTTAATTATTTATAACAAAATCATAAAAATATTAAAAAATCACTTTGAAGTTTATTTAGATTTCAGTTTATTTTAGTAGCCCGCAGATGTTAAAAAACAAACAGTCTTCTTTTTTCAGACTGCAGACATTTGGCCCGCCTCTTCTACTGCAGAGGTCTACAGATGTGGTCCGCAGACTGTAAACATTTTGCCTCAGAAAAAACAAACAGCACCTTAGTCACCTGACCTAATACAACTGGTTTAATATCCACGTGACCATTTGTTTTTATTGACATGTCCATCTCTTTTAGCTTAATACCCTACGTGCCCTTCAAAACGTTTACTAGTCTATCGAAGACAATCAAATATTTAATGATAAAATATAAATGGTAAATTACACGAATGTTTATTGTGGTTTAGGTAATTTGCATTGTTGATCTCTAACTTTGTTATTGGAAAAATGACATATTAGCTTTATGATGTTTTGCACATTTGTCATTCAGTCTCTTAAGAATTTTTCGTGATTTATGAGGGAACAAAATAGTTTTTTGAGATGTTCATTTAGTCACCTAACCTAATACAACTGGTTTAATATCCACGTGACCATTTGTTTTTGTTGACATGTCCATCTCCTTTAGCTTAATACCCTACGTGCCCTTCAAACCATGGATTCTACTATATACCTCTCCTCACCTGATTGGCTCTCCTCTATACACCTCTCCATTGGTATGAGGGTCCTCATGCCAAGTTTTAGTTTCCACTAATCACTTCTTTTCCCTCGTCCAATATTTGTCGTCACACTTGGCCCCTCTATTTCTTTATATATGTTCGCTTAGTCTATCCTCCAACAATCGTTATTCATGTTAAAACAAATTCTAAAATACTCCTCGAATAAGGTGTTGGTTGTTGTACTTTTGACCAGGAAATGAACGGTTTGGGTGGTTGTTGTATTGCAAGACATGCAGTAGGTGGTGGGATGTACGATGGGTCGAAGGTGGTAGGGATAATGCTAAAGTATCGGTCGTTGTTGGGTCAGGCTTATGTGGTCCCACGACAGAGAACAATGATGGGTACATTAAGTGTGGAAGAGGTAAGAGAGAGTGTGTTAGGGTTAACGAGAACAGAATAATTTGAAGAGGCGTGGTGGTGAAAACAAAAATGTGACGTCGTCGTTCTATCCACGGCCTTCGTCTACCAAAGAAGGTAAGATTATGACGCTTTCTTTGTTGTCATAGACTCCAGATCGGAAAGAGAACTCTTCACCTGTTACAAGTTTTGTAGATTTGTTATGGTCAACCAAAATAAAGAAGTGTCATTGCAATAACAACAAGAAATCAACACCGACGTCGTTTGGTTGGGCTTTGACAACAAAACCCCATTTTAGATTTGTATATCTCACAATAGTTTTTATTCTTTCACTCAATTTCTTGATTAGTGTGACTGCTAGTGAAGAATCTGATGACATTCATGAACTCATAGCATTAGACCAAGCAAAAGGAGAAGAAGGCGGAACCTACTACCATAAACCGTTATATGAGGTGGAGGTGTTGACTAAGGCCCAACGAATAGTTCTTGAACTCGACAATGATAATACTCAAAGGGCTATTGATGGAAATGAGTATGTTTTGCTTCTATTCATCAATGTCACTTCTCCACCTTACACCGGTGGATTTTCCACGTAAGATTTCGTTTTAATGTTGGGTTTTTACGATATTTTGGTACTCGTAGATTGTAATAAAGAAATTATGTTGTGAATTAGGGAAGAAATTGTGATATGGGTGAGGAATAAAGATACACTTCATATGGTATAATGAGGGAGGATGAGGAAGAAGAAGACCACGAAGTGTTACAGGTGGTAGAAGGGGTGAATCAGCATTGAGGAGAAACTAGGGGTCAAGTCAAAAGAGGGGGTTTTCAAAGTCAAAATCTATGTGGCAAAGGGGAATCGGGTTACCTCTTCAACTGGTTCAAAGTGACCAAATAGACCCGAAAAAAAAACAAATTTATTCCCTCATAAAACACAAAAATAAGTTAAAGGACTAAATGTGCAAATGTGAACTACAAGTGCCTATTTTAACCTCAACCCTATAACCACCTCTCGTCCTCCTCTTTATGTCTCATTAAATAACATTGATACCTACATCCCATCCTTCTCTTACTACGACAATCACTCAAAACCCACCCATTTACTTCCGTCGACAATCTCTAACAACTACATCCCTTCATAGGCACTACCGATGAGAGCTTCATCAAAAACTGTCGTTGCTTGGAAACCCATTGTCAAAAAATCCCAAGACTAAAAATGCCAAAGCCATTATTGAAATGTGTTCTTGAATAATCGGATGGAATCAAGGAAAAAAGAATATGTTAGCACTCTTACTTCAACGTCTCCGTCATGTAAACCTTCTATCAATATTTTTATTTGGTATTAGAAGAAAATACAACCCATCATGACATTTGCAACTCTAGTGACCCAACCACACCATCGCCGACTTGCCACCAACCACATAATAAATTGAAACCACGATAAACATCGATGTAACGAAAAAACATTAGGGACGAAACCAAAAATCTACCAAAAAAAAGGAGCATAGATCATTTATATAGTTTTTTCTATTATTAATTATGAAAAAGTGTGACAAAAATGACAGACCATCCATTCTTTGATGACAACGGTATATACGTTCCCACATGATTGAAAATTTATAATCACAATAAAAAAATCATTAAAAATGTGAAATTTAAATTCCAACCGATGAATTTATCATCGACATTCATTTTAACCATGAAATAAACTAACTCATTATGCTCTGTAGGGATGTAAATGAACCGAACGTTATACGAACTGTAACCGTTCAATGGAAATTGCATTTATGTTCGTTTATTAAATAAACGAACGAACATAAACACAAATTCTCGTTTGTTTAATTAAACGAACGAATATGAACAATAGTCTCGTTCGTTTAATTATGTTCGTAAACGTTCGTTTATGTTCGTTTATTTAAGTTTTTTTTTTATATTCATATATGTTCAATTGTTTTTTATTACGTTACTATATTATATGTTCGTTTATGTTCATATATGTTTATTTATCTATGTTCGTGTATGTTTGTTTGACATTTTTCACGAACATAAACAAACGAACATAAAAAATGTAATTTGTTAAACGAAAAAACATAAACAAGAAAACACATTTGTTTATTCATTCGCGTTCGTTTATTTGTTCGACTAACTTAAACAAACAAACATGAACATGCCCTTGTTCATGTCCGTTCGAGTCGTTTACAACCTTAATGCTCTGATACCAAATAAATAGAAAAAAATTATAACATACCCAGATTAAAATACGAATGCGAATCGATTACTTGTTTATTTCACCATTTTGTGAGACAATCATGTATATGCAAAATCGATTACTCTCTAGTTTCTCTCTCATCCAAGATCAAAGACTCCTTTCAAATGACATCAACATGCCTTTATAGTCCCTTTAGTGACATTATGAAACTGTCACGAAAACCGCCACAAACTGCTCACGAGCAGTTATAAAACTGGCATAAGACAGCCCTTAATGGGGAAGTTAATAGATGATTTTGTAGGCGGGTCCGGGTCAAGAATTTCCAACAATTGCGTCTACCAGAAATGCCCAAAATACATCTTTGGAAAATACAATCATCCGTAAATATAATCAAACGAGTTTCCCACCGAAATCGATCATCAACGATTGCCAATTGAAAATGAAAATCAAAACAAATCAACCGTCTATTTGTAAGATCATAGATTTCAACTTTCAAGCTTCAGGAACAGCGGTGGCTGCTACGGCCGCTGCAGCTGTAGCTGCGGCAGAGCGTTTGACGGAGGCGGACTTAATAAGATGATTGTAGCTGCCCTTCTCCTTGAATAACTGCGAGAAATGGTGTTTGCAGTATAAAATCCCTTCTAGCGCTGCGTAATTTGATGGAGATAAAGAGCATCCCCCATGGGAGCACTTGAAACAGGACTTATGGTACGCTTCGTTCTCCACTGTCACCTGAACCCAAAACCCTAATTATTCCATCACTTTTTAACACGGTTAGGTTCGATTCATACCTGAACCCAAAACCCTAATAAATCTATCACTTCAATTTTAACACGATTTGGTTCTTCGATTCATACCTTTTCAAGAGGATAAGCTGTTTTGCCACAAGTCGCACATTTCTCTTGGGTGCCGGAAAACATCCCAGCAGCTTTACTTGGTGATTTCGTCTACAAAAATGGTTACAAACACTCATGACTTAGATCCATCTTCGCTACATATCCAAATCAAACACGAATCTGTGCGAAAACTTACCAGATGCGGTGTTAAATTCTCAGCAGACCTTGCAGCTGTCAGAAGTTTCAAAATTTATCAGAAACTAACAAGCAAATAGGGGGAAAGAATTGAAGAGATATCATACGCGATTGGAAGTTCTTGTTGAAATTTCCACTCTCCTTGAACAGCTGATCGAAATGAGGCTTACAGTATAGTACACCTTCCATTGATGAGTAGTTGCTAAGCTGAAAGTTAACTGTAATTACTTAATTAAACTCGAATAAGAAGAATGTATGAATGCAGAAAGAGTAGAGGGTTAGTATCGGTATTTCACATGTCGATGATTGTATCTTCATGATACAAAACATACCTTAAGGGTACCTTTGCAATGGCTACACCTGAAGCATGACTTGTGATAATCAACACCATCAGCAGATAAAAGTTCCACCGGATAAACTGTTTTTCCACAAGCTTTGCATTTCTGCTGTGTCCCAATAAAAGACATAGTTACCCTTTTCCCCTTCTTGATCTATTCCTCAATGCTCTTCAATTTTCACCTGCAAATCCCCAAAAAGATTGAATGTTTATAGTTGGTTATAAGTTATAACCCCATCTGTGTCAAAGGTGCATTCTGTTATCTTGATGTATGTTTTCAAGAAAAAAGTAGAGTGCTAAATGATCTCCAAACAAATTAATAATTGTGACATTATTTTGAAGAACATATGAACATCGATTGCTAAATAGATCTAACTGCTGGAAAACCCAATGCGAATATAGGATTTTTATAAATCAACTAATCAAGAAACTCAGATAGTTTTATTATAAAATTCAAGAAAATATGAACATAAATAGTTAAAACAATCTAACTATTGGATAAAAGTGAACTGAAATTCGATTGGTATAGGATTTGCATGCCTAAAAAAATCAAATAGTTTATCATTAAATCAAGAACATATGAAGTATGAACATAATTTATTAATAAGATCTGTTTTTGGGAAAACCAAAGAAACTGAAGTGAAATTAGAGTGCTACATAACGCTTCTCAAGAAATCAGAACGGATACGATTAATTTCAAGAAAATTATGAACCTAGATTATTCAATGTATTATGTATATGTTTCTTGGGAAACCCGGTGGAAAACAAAGATCAAAAGATAAATTTTATAGATAATTCCAAGAAAATTAAGAACATTGACTTTAAAGAAGATCGAATTGTTGAGGAACCCAATGAAATGCAAGCATCATCAGAAACTTTAGTATTGATTTAAAGAAGATACGAAACATAAGAATGTAGAAACTAGAAAGTATGTATTAGGATGAATACCTTGATCAATACAGAGACTTTAGTTGAAAACTGATAAAAGTCGAAGGGTTTTTTGTGGGTGGGTTTGTGAAGATGAAGAAAGAGAGGTGGAAATCTGGGGAAAAAAAGGGTTTTAGGAGCTTTTTGCAGGGTAGCGGATGGAGCGAAGACGATGACGTGGAGAGAGAGGGAGAGAGAGGGAATATTTTTTTAGCCTGGAAAATTCATTCCATTTGGAATGGAAAATAAAAAAAAAATAAAAAATACGTATTCCATATTTTTCATGATATATTTTTGAGAAGAAATTACATCGTTATTTATTCATTTGAAGATAAATCTAAACACGTATAAATATTGATTCTAAACATCGTTACGTCGTTATTTATTCATTTGAAAATAATTCTAAACACGTATTTATTCATTTGAAAATAATTCTAAACACGTATTCATTCATTTGAAGTTAATTACAACACTAATTACGTTTTTTTTAAATAGCAAACCCAACACACTTCCCTACATTAATTCTAAAGTATTCATTTCGTTTCCAACAATACGTGAGCCTTCAACATTTGGCTGATAGCCACATTTCCACAGACATCCGATACCGTTGGGCTACAAACCCTTTGATAATTACGTTTATTCAAGGCGACTTTTGGAAGTTGACTCAGATCCGTGGACTTAGCCCTTGATTGTTATCGTCTGACTGGGACCGAGTCAGCAATTTGGGCTGACTCGGTCAGACAAGATGTGTTTGATAGAAGCTTTCTCAATCAGATCGTCTGGCCCATATCACTTTATCGGTCAGACTTTGAAATAGAGCTGACTGAAAAAATTACGCTCATACCCTCTCTTTTCTTTCTTCCCAAAGCGATACCAGCAACGATCGCCTCCACCGACAGCTCTCCATCGCATCTCCATCGCCGTCAGCGGACGTAAAGATTGTCCGTCCGTTCGATCTCCGGCGAGAAAGACGTCAAGACAGGTAAATACACATCGCCCTTTCTTTCTCATCTTTCAATGAATCGTTTTTTCTCTCGCAACCAACAAGCATCGACGAAGCTGCTTCCTCGTCTGATCAGGTAAGCATCGATTTTTCCTTCCTTGTCTCATAAATACTTCTGATTTCTGCCATCATCGACTAGCAAGCATCGATTTCTGCAAGAGTTCTGAATTCTGCCATTATTTCTCTAAAAGTTCCGATTTTTACTTCTTGATTTTTGTTGTTTCGATTGTTGTTGTTTCCGATTTCTGCCATTATTTCTCTAAAAGTTCTTTTGTTCACTTCATGTGTGATGTTGAATGTGCCTTTGCTGGTTTTACTCATACCTGAAAAGATACATATATTTGTTCAAGTGATTAACAGAGATGCCTTTGCTGATGCCAATACCAGGGTATCATCTCTTGTCTACAAATAAATAATTTGAGGGTAAAAATGTCATTGTACTTACTGATGAACATATTGCATTTCATTGATTGCAAGGTTTGAAATCACAAAAGAGCAGTGATTTGAAGTATGATATATGTGGATTGTCATTCTTGTTGTATCCATTGTGGTGTAGATAGGATTTGCAATGATATAATAAGCTAATATACCTCCACCTCACGTTCAATGATATAATAAGCTCATTTTAGGTCATATATGGTGGTTTTAACTTATAAGCAGATATGGGATTTGATTTTGAGATGAGTGACACACTCATACAAGCATTCAATCAAGAAATCAATTTGGCAGAATTTATTGGTATTTCTAGTATGTTTTATAGACTCAGGATGACAGTATTGTTTTGTGAGATGTAAACTTGTGATGTTTGGTAATATTATTTGGTGTGGATTTATTATTATTATTATTATTATTATTATTATTATTATTATTATTATTATTATCATTATCATTATCATTATTATTATTATTATTATTATTATTATCATTATCATTATTATTATTATTATTATTATTATTATTATTATTATTATTATCTGTATCTTTATTATTATTATTGATGGGTTTTAAGCAATACATCATTCCTATGGTGTACATGCAAACCCTAAAGCTTTGGATCTAGTTTGTCTAATGAACATGCAATAATCATCCAAAGCCATAAACCCTGGATCTAGCATGTGATAATCGATATTAACATAAGAGTAGGGTTTAGATCTTACATTTGATTGTTATGTAGTAATAACAATCTATTCCTTCTTGTAATTGGCTTCTAAAAGCTTAGAGTCACAAATGTCACTCCTCTAATGGCTCACAAACACCAAGAGCAAGAGGATGAAGAAGGAGAAGAGAGGAGGCACCCAAAACCGTCTAGAAACCCTAATGAATCAGTTGTCCACGTTTTTGGTGCCCTAAGGGTCTTTAAATAGTGAGGCTATTAGGGTTATCTAACAAGGAAACCCTAATTTGACTGTTTAGGCCCTAAGCAACCCATAGACTCCCTCCTTAGAGGCCTTGGACGATTTCTAATGGGTTTCCCCATAGAATTCGTCCACTCCTTTAATATGGAGTCCATTAGCCCAATATTCAACTATCACACAATTGATAGTTCCAGTCCCCTTTATTTAAATAATATCTTTTAGTCACAAAAATTAATTCTCATTAATTCTTGACTAATATTAATTAAACAATATGATTTCTCCTTTAATATATTATTCTCATGATATATTGATAAATCATAATTAATCCTCTATCTCCATAATTCATCCTATCAAGTTGCTTTGGTGAAGGCAACCCAAAAGGACCATGCACCATCGGGTCAAGTACATACCAAAATAGTTATGGACTTAGACACTAATCCAACAGTCTCCCACTTGGATAAGTCTAATAACTATTCTGCGTATGACTTCAGATCCTGATCCGCAATCGTAGCTTTCAAAAGCCGCTGTCAACTCTGATCTTATCAGAAGCGTGTCCTTTAGATAAGGGATCATATATTCCTCCATTCTTGATATCGCATAGAATGAGACATGGATTTAAATCATTCTCTCTGTCTATATATTGTTTCCCGATTTCCGATTTACGACGACTGTCAACAGACTACGGTTGAACACATCAACTTAGTCCCGGCTTGGCCAAGCGCTTAGGGTGTCATCACTAAATCATCGAGGGGCCCACAAATATCGCTTTTATCCCACCTTGGGTAAAAGGAACGGATAAACTTCGACTCAATGCTCGCTTGCACTCACTCACCGAATCACACACACCAATACGTTTTATAACACCAAGTTACTGGTGCGTTTACATATTATCAATGTGCAACCGACTCGCAAGATACAACTCACACATCTCGGTTTCAAGAATATAAGATATTACCGTCTCACAAATCACTCGTGATAAAATCCATGAAGCGATCCAAGTGAGCATGGGTTTAATCCAATGCTCAAATCTTATTCATAAGCACTCATGAACGTTGCAGCAAACCTTCGCTATGTCTAATACACTTTAGGCAGTCTACAAACCAATTCATGACAATCTTCTTTCATACCTACTCCCAAAGTATGAGCGACTGTGGAACGTTCGAATAATCTTATTATTCAGGAAGTCAAAAGATGCAAAGTGAAACACAAGAATAATCAAACTCAATATGGCCCCAAACTTTTGAGTATAAATAAAACTCCTTTTATTTAATCACCATATTGATTACACATTATTCATTGTATAATGTTTCGGGCAATCAACTTATTACTTGAATTACAACAACAATTGTCCTATGCTCTTAGCATGCACACTATGTTTACTTATGGTCCTTACTTTGTGAAATAGTATAATTGAATAACATTTTCAATCACACTCATTTCATAATTCCCAATCCTAACCACAAGTGTGAGAATACCAAATTCTTGCCACTTATAGAATATGTTAGATTCTAACATTTCATGCAACGGTTCTTTCGTAAAATCATAGCGCCAAAGTCACCAAGACTTTGCCAATGAAATTACAAAGTACTCTGTTGGAGATTGTTACAAGACAATTCCATAGTCATGAAGTCTCATATTCAAAGTATATTCCTTTGAACATCCTTCTTGCATAAAAGTTTCTAATCTAGACATAGATTCTCGATATCCAACTCCCAATATGGAAACATTTCCATATTTTCCATATGACAACTCATTCTAAATAGAATCTTATGTATTCATTATAATTTCAATATGGTCCATCCATGGTTATACTTTCAACTGTCCACAAGCGACCAACCCTTGGCGAACCTTAGATTGTCCTTGGCAGTTGTTTAATTATTTTAGTAAAAAACGGTTCTATTTCCTTTTTCCCTCTAAATGCCCTAGGCATTTGGAAAATTTTAGAACGGTCGAATATTACAGCATATGAATCGATCCTATACCCGAAGCGTATGGGATACAATTCATAATAAAAAACGTGATACTTTACCAGTTTCTTGCTATAATATTGTCATAATATTTCTATTTGCCGTGTTCTCAAAATTTGAACTATGAAGATGGATGCCGTAATCATAATCGAACTTTGAGAATGCAAATAATAAATATACCCTTGACTAAATCCAATTAAAATTTCTCGATCTACGCATTTAGATTGGAAATGAAGTATAACATTCTCTCCCTTAATTATAGCAAAAACAAATTTTCTATACTTGCAACTTTGCAAAGTGAAACTTTTGTTTTTCTATAATTAATATTGCCAACTTGCAATACTTAAATAATAATCATGCTCCCACTAACATGATGATTATATCCATTCCAGCATAACATTTATGCTCCCACTAGCTTTGACACGTATTCAGAAACCATCTAAACTTTTAGAAAACAATACTTATTGACTTCCAAAGTTCATTGTTTCTAATACGATATGTTTCGATAAGCCTTTATCTAAGCTTCTTAAAATCACACACCTTTCCTAAGACAGCTCACATGTGTGTCTAAACTAATTCAGAACTTATATTACTAAGTCCCAAATATTCAGAACGATTGCCAAATCTCGCAGTTCGAACTATGAAAAGGGATGCCATAATCATAATCGAATTTGAGAATGCAATTTACATAATCGATATCTCCTTAAAATCTCTCTTAGTGAAAGCGTTTCCTCGCAATCATTTTCATGAAGGAGAGAAACCTTATGACACTTAGATTTTATGGTGTATGTGTTCCTATCCATGTGAATTTGCCATAACCATAATCGAAAGATAATGTTTGTGACAAATTCAAACTCTTATGGACAGAGCTTGTTCATTCTTAATTTCTTGCCATCAAGGGTCCCACCATTGCTTCCAAGTTATTTAGCAGCTCACCTATTCCATTCAATGTACTTTCATTGAATAAGGTGCTTGCCTTATGCATTCTATTGAGAACTCGTAGAACTCATATGCATAATCACTCAACAGGATTGACACATAAAAAGAATTTTGTCAACACGATAGGTTACAAACCTCAAGTCGTGTGCTAGTGATCATTGGTTAGGTTTATTCTTGATTTGTTCTTGAATCTTTTCAAGATCTTCAGACTCCCACTGACCTCTTGACATATATGATTCTCTTGTCAAGAAACATTCCTTGACAAAACAAATATTCAAGAGTTAGTGCGAAATTCTATCAAGACTAACACTTAATTTAATTTATTCTAGTTGGTCTTTGTCTTCTTCAAGACATCACAACTTACAAATTCCAAATTCCAAATGTGTATGAATAAGAAAACTTTCTCTATTCCACAATTGAAAAGTGTTACAAAACTACTTAAGATGTGTCACTCAAGCCACAATCTTGGAGTACGATTCTAAGACTTTATTTTGGAACGAAGTATGACTCATCCTTTTGATTTAACCTATTTCAACAATTTTCGATTCCTCTTCTTAGCCATACTAGTGCACTAAGATATCCTTAGAGAATTAATTGTGATATGGTTCTTAATCATTAAGACGATCATAAAATCCGATACAAAAGTACTCTCCCTTCTTCTTAGATCGGAGAAACTTTTATCTTTCTGCATACATTGATTCTTATTATTCATTCTGCCATTCATTGAAACTTTTCAATGATTCAGAA